GGGGAGGGGCCGAGGGGGGGCTCGCGGCGGCGGCGCGCGCGGGGTCCGCGGGGTGACACAATTGCAACAACTTTGGGCAGCGGCGCCGCCGAAGTTTGTTCGGGCGGCAAAACACGCCCCAGGCCGCGGGGCGGGCGGGCAGGGTGGTCCCCTCTCTCCTCTGCTCCTCGACACCCCAAGTCCCCCCCCTGCCCGCCGCCGAGGGGCTGAGCGGCGATGTAAACACCGCTCCGCCGCCATCCGCAGCCGCCGCCTCCTCCTCCTCCTCCTCCCCCGACTCTCCAGCGCTGGGGCTCCCTCCCCCCTCCCCTCCCTCCCTCCCTCCTCCTCCGAGCAGCGGGGCTTCCCCCCGCCTCCCTCCCTCCCTCCCTCTCCCCTCCTTCCCTCCCTCCCCCTCCCTGCCGGCTGTTGTTGTTGTAATAAAAGTTGTGGTGTGTGTGTGTGTCGGGCACCCCGCCCCGCCCGGCGCTGGGGGGTGTTGGGGGCGCGCAGGGAGGGGGGGGTGCGATCCGCGAGTTAATTACGCTGCGTTTCCATGAAATCGTGCGGAGTGTCGCTCGCCGCCGCCGCCTCTGCTGCTCCTTTCGGGGATGAGGAAAAGAAAATGGCGGCGGGGAAAGCGAGCGGCCAGAGCGAGGAGGACTTCGCCAGCTTGACAGCCCAGGAGAGAGAAGCCCTCTCCGGCCTCGACAGGTACCCGCTCCCCACTCCGCCCCGGCCGCCTCCGTGTCCCGGCTCGGCCCGCGCCCCCTCCCCGTGTGTCCCCCCCGCTCCCCTGCCCGCGGCTCCCCGTGTTGCCGCTCCCGGGCCCCGCGCTCTGCCCTCGCCCGCCCGCCGCGCCGACTCTCCGCTAACGCCGGTGCCTCTCTCTCTCTCTCTCTCTCTCTCTCTCTCCCTCCCCTCCCTCCCGCCCCGCTCCCCTCCTCGCAGCCGGCTCTTCGGATTTCTGAGGCTTCATGAAGATGGCGCCAGAACGAAGGCCTTGCTGTTAAAGGTAAGCGCGAGGGTGGATGTGGAGCGGGGATGGCGCGGGGAGGGGGGGGTGGTGGAGAGGGAGGGGGGAAGCGGGGGATGGGGGAGCGCGGCGGCCCCGCCGCCCCTTCCCCCGGGACCCCCGGGCCCGCACGGTGAGTGTGTGCGGGGGGTGTGCGGGGGGCACCGACACCTCCCGCGGGGTCCCCCGTGCGTCGCTGCCGCCTTTGCCCCCTTTCCCCCTCCCCCCCCCCTCCCCCAGCCCGAGCGGGACGAGGGGGGAGCGCGGCCATGCGGGTGTTCCCCGTCCAGCCCCGGGACGGGGAAAGTGGCGGAGCCCCGGGGCCCGGAGCGGACGGGCCGGGGGAGGGGGGCGCGGGGGCGGAGGGGGGGGAGGTGGAGGACGAGGAGGAGGAGGAGGCGGCGGCAGCGGGGGGAGAGGAGGGAGGCAGGGCGCGCTCGGCGCTGCTGACGTTGCCGCTGCCCGGACCCTCCCTCGTGATTTTCGCCCCGGGAGCGGGGCCGGGGCCGGAGCCCGCAGGGGAGCGCGGGGTCCGGGCCGGGGCGGGCGCGGAGCTGAGCGGCCCCCGGAGCCCTTCGGAGTGACTTGTTTACTCGCCGGGCCCCGCTGCCTTCGCCCGGCCCCGGCCGAGCCCCGTGTGCCGCCCGGCGGCCCGGCCTGACAGCGAGCGGGGCGTCCCGCCCGTCCCGCTGTGTCCTGCGAGAGGTGTTTGCCTCCGCGGAAAGTTGTTGGCCCTGTCATTTAGTTAAGTAATGGCTGCTCCTGTCGGCCCCAAGATGGCCGGACAGGGAGGAGAAAGGGAAGGGGGGGGACGTAAACACGAAACAAACACCGGGGGAGCGAATGTGGGGGGAGCGCGGAGCCCCCGGGGAGGGCCGAGGGAAACTCTCCTGCGCATCCCAAGTTCTTTCTGGGCGCTTTTCCTGCTGCTCCGCGGCGCCGGTGCCCTCCTTATCAACCTGTAGCACGTTCTGCTGCCCATCCGTGAGCTGCTGACAAAGGCTGTGCGGGCCGAGTCTCTGCCAGCTGTACTCAAAACACCAAACGCCAGGGAAACCTTTGGGTAACAGGATAAGCGGGGCTGTTTTTAAAATGCCACCCGGCTGAAGCGGAGGGGACGGTGCTTCTCTGGTTCCTGCTTCCTGGCTTGTTCCTGTCAGTAGCCTGGCGTTTGACACTGCTCATCCCATTGTTGTGCCCGGGCTGTGTCGTGGAGGATTATTTTTTTTTTTTTTTCCGTGTTGCTGGTTTTGGTTGATCTGAAGATCTCACTCCGAACCGTGTTGAATTGGATATCCCAGGCCCTTCCTTGTGTTTAGGTGTTTATTTCTAGCAGGATTGGAAAAGCTCAATGTCAGGACGTGGAGGGGGAGGGGGGAGGGATGGAAGGAAAAGCAACTACACTTTTTCTTTGTGCTTGTATTTTAAAAAAAATCTCGCGGTTTCCTTTCGATTTTCGGGGTTATTTATAAGAGCACTCTTTCCCATAAATCAAAAAGGTAGGGGAGTGACATGTCAGGCCAGTTAAATAATGTACATTAACTGTTGGTAGACCAGAATTCACGGCTGCTCTGTGAATGCTGCTGTGGCTGTCGGAAATATTAGACAGAATTCCGTATGGGATAGAGCTTAAGGATGCCAGATAGCAAATAAAAGCATCATATGTAATTAGATCATCTGTCACATAGCGTCCCTGGGTTAAGTTTTTATTTTGTGTACTGTAAAATCAAGTAATACAGGCAGCAATTCAGCATATTAGTTGAGTCTTGAGTCCTTTCTTACATATAATGCATTAATGCCTTTTTTTTATGTCAGGCAGTTGTAGTTTAGTATGTACAGTCTGTTGAAGTTGTGGGGCATTTTCATAGTTTTGAAATATATTTCTAGAAATACCACTGTATGTTTTGTGCTCTATTAATGTATGAATGCATGCAGCAAATACTGAAAAAAAAAAACCCCAAGCAACCAAATATTTTGCTGTTTCACCTCAGTTTTCAGACAGTGTTTTGGACATTTATGAATTGCACAGGAACTCACGAAGCTTGTTCTTCATAAAACTTGTCTCTGAGAAAGGTGGATTGTTAAGGAAGCAGAAGGATTAAACCGTTACTGTTTGGTGCAGAGATGTTCGAGAGGGATTTCGTGGCTTGAATCAGTTTCGGTTTTGTTTGTTCTTTTTACTTCCAGGGACTGTGCATGTGTTTCTGCTGCTGTTATCGATAAGTAAGAAGTTGTTATTTTTAAGGTGTTTTCTGCTTAATTCCTTTTCTGCGTGCGTGAGGCTTCGTGCAATTTATGCTGTGCAGGAAGGTTTAGGGTAATTAATCTAGCAGACCACTTTAATTCCGTGTAGCAGTTATTTTTATTGTACAGAGTGTGGCCGTGTATACGTGCAGTTAATTAATAGGTTTTACAGTGATAGCAACAAAATGTTTCCTTTTGTGCGTGGAGCAACAACAGCTAACAAAGACCCTAGACTCCATAATTATGAAATCCTGACTGACTGATTTAAGAATCTACAGCACATTACAATGTAAGATTTACGTGCAAGTGTAGCAGGTAAGGAAAACCATTGAGTCATGTTTCCAGAGGAATCCTTCACAAAGGCAAAAATTTACCTTCAGTGTGAGAGCAGCACACTCGCCACAGAACCTTTTCAAAAGGCTTCCAGGCTGGAGCAGTGACTCCTCTGTGAGGCCTGGAGTGTTCCCTGGTTACCTGTGGTTAAGGTGACGTGGGCAGGGTGACTGTCTGGGGAGACTGGAAAGAGGTCCTGGGTTGTGAGTGTGTGGGGAACAACTCTTGTTACCTGCCTGGATGCTTGTGCAGCAGGAGGAGTCTCGTGGGCTTCAATTTGGTGCCTCGAGGAGGAACTCCTCGTTTTTGGTGGGGTTCACTGAGGCGTGTGTTGGCTCAAGACACTTGGGGGAGATTTCAGGAGGCCTTTGCAATGGGAACTCTGATTTAATGAAGCCACACCCTGATAGAATTTAATAAGGAGAAAACTGGGATCTGTTTCAGGGATGGACGAAGATTCGTGTCCAGAGCTTTAACGTGGTTGTTGGTTTTATGCCTGCTCCAGGTCTGGGCTGCAGCCCCCCCTTTTCTGGTAGTTTTGCTTTGTAGGATGTATGGCTGTAGTATGGTGAACTAAGTTAAATCCTGCTGGTGGGTGCAGCAAATCAGAAGAGCATATAAGACATCAGATCTATACAGTTTTATGAATTATTGAAGGTATAGACTAAAGGTCAGGAATATTGTGTTGTTGCTCCATGTATTGGATATGTGATAAGGCAGAAGAAATCAAACTTTCCTGTAATGGTGTACACACTGTCAGTATGTGTGACAGAGGAATGGAGTTTGCTGCTGCCAAAAATTTTGTGTTTATTTTGCAGAAAGGGAGCTTGAAAATCATAGTTTGCAGCTAGTGTGGTTTTGGGGGAGTGGAGGCAGAAATTGAGAGAGAGATCAACCT